TGAACTTTTTTTTTTTTTTTTTTTGGTACCAGGGATCAAACTCACTCATCACCTTGTGCTTTCAAGGCAGGCAAGGTGCCACTGAACTAAATCCCCAGCCCTCACGTATCAAGTTTGCTTGTTTGTTTGTTTGTTTGTTTTGTTTTTGGTACTGGAGGTCAAACCTGGGACCTTGCACTTACAAGGCAGGTGCAGAACCACTGAACTAAATCTCCAGCCTCTTCACATATCAATTTTTAAGCTTAGTATTCATAGAACTATAATGAGACCTTGAGACTTTTGCCTGGCTCCTTGATTATTTCTAGTGTGGGTCTCTAAAACGTTTCTAGGGTTCAATGGTTTAGGACATGTTTTGTTGTTTAGTTCATTGATGATACAAGGGATCAATCCCCAGGGCCTTGCAGTGCTAGGCTACATTCCTGGCCACTTGGGCTTGATCATGTGTATTAATTATGCATATTATGAAGTTCAGTGTGATATTCCCTTACATGCATGTACTAATAAAGTCCACTCCTCTTTATCCATCTTCCCCTACTTCCCAGCTGATGGTAATTTCTTCTACATTCAGACTGGCTGCTTTTTTTAAAAACCTGTATGTAAGAGAAAACATGTGACCCTTGTCTGTGTCTGCCTTATTTCACTTAGCATACTGTCCTCCAATGTCCCCATTTTCATGCCAATGACAGGATTTCATTCAGCTTTGTGGTTAGTATCCCATTGTGTGTATGTACCACATTTCCTACTGGTCAATCTTTTCATGCTTGGATGGACACCCAGGCTGATTCCCTATCTTAGCTATTTGGTTGGAGCTTTAAGAGCTCTTGTGGCAGCACTGCAACCAGTCATAGCTCTGAAACCAGAAACCTGACTGCTCCAATTAGCCTTGGGAAGCAGAATTCTGATAGAGCCTTTACAAAAAGAACAGGGAACTTGGAGAACTGAATAGAGGGAGCACCCACAGGAGGTCAGACCTCCAGGATGGAGCTAGAGCTGCATACTGCTGAACCCGTCCACTTATTTCCTCTACTTGCCTCCTTCACTTGGCCTCTTTCTTGTAGAAGTGTTTTGTGTGGGGACAGTGGGCCCAGTACTCCCTCACAGCCTGCTTCCTAATGCTTCAAGTTCCTGGGAGAGATGCTCAGAACTATTCCTAGTTCACCAGAGGCCCCACAGGCCCCATGCCAGATGTAAATGTGTGTCCTACACCTAACACACTCACCCTTAGCTGGATGCCTTGGTGACTCCAGTGCTGGCTTCCTCCGGCAGCATAAAGAAGGGGACATTGATGGCAGCCACTCTCTAAAGCTTGAGCATAGGAGCTGCTGACCAGAGACTGGTTATGGGGCCAGCAGTGTGGCTCAGTGGCAGAGCCTGAGATTGGTGCAGCCAGCAAAAGGCCCTGGGCTCCATCCCCTGTACTGAAAAAATAAAAATAAAAAAGATTATCTTTGATGGTATCCTGAGATCTATTTTTTTCATCTCCAAAGTTTAAGGTCCACATGCACCCAATTTTTCTCTTCTTTTTTTCATATGTGGAGGGGGTTTTCTGAGGACAGGAGCCAGGCCTTCCTTGTACATGTCAGGCAGACCCTCTTATCACTGAGCTGCACTCCCAGCCCATACACACTTTGGTTACCCATTTTAATGGTAGATCATCCCATTTCATTCTCATTACATTTCTTTTATTTCTTTACATTTCATTCTCTTTTCTTCAGCACTATATCTACCAAGTATACCTGATGCCTAAGAAATCCCTTCAGGATGATCAGATACATGAAAGGAGGAGCACAGAGGTCACCAACCCTATGCAACTACTTAGAAAACACCCTCAAGGAGGAGGAGGCCTGAGCCTCACATTATTAGCCTCCCATGGACATGTTCTTTTCCCCTCCAGCACCTGCACCCTTCAGTGCTAGTGTCTACCGCTGCCAGGATTGCCTGTCTTCACCTAGCTACCCCATCCTCCCATTGAGCAGTCAGGTGGTTTTAGACCTCCCTGTCCTGCACTCTTCTCTGCCCTCAGCCCTGGAATATCCCCCTCCAGCTGTCAAAGAGTAGAGCACTTCTGTCTTCACTTGTACACATCCTCGCTCTAAGGCCCTCGGGTCCTCCATCATCCTGGCTTATCTAAACAGCAGGCCTGTCTTTTCTAACAGAGATGACTCGAGCCATGGGGAGAGTCTTGAGCACCTCTGCTAGACAGGTGGCAAGTCCCTTGGTGCCCAGTCCTCCCTGACATAGAAACCATATCAGGAGGGATATTTTGCATGGTTTGCATTTATTTTTGTTATTGCACAAATAGTCCTTGTTTATTATAGGAAAATGGGAAGAAGCAATTGTATTTTTTTCTTTCTTTTGTGGTGCTCTACCCCCTGAGCCACACTCCAGGCAAGTGATATTGTCTCTAATCTACCACCTAAGGAGAATGTGTTTTTAATCATGTATAACAGTAATCTGTTTGGTATCATGAACCAAAATTCATGCTGTGCATATGCTCTGACCTTGATGGCCTTTCTCATTTCAAGAAACAAATTGATTACAATTTTGAGCAAAATTTTCCTAATTTTACTTGAGTATTTATAATGAAAAAATTTTTTTTTTTTTTTTTTTTTTGGGTACCAGGGATTGAACTTGGGTCCTTGCATTTGTGAGGCAGGCAGTGGAACCACTGAGCTAAATCCCTGGCCCAACTCTCCACACTTCTTATTCCTACACAGTTAGACACATCTTAAACTTAATTCTATTTTGTAGTTATTGTTGTTGTTTTAAAAATGCAGAAAACTAAAATTCCAGTTTATTGGACAACATTGTTCCACTCATAGATCACAGATCAAAATAAACAATTTCATAGACAAAAGAAAAAATAAACTTTTACTTTTGGACTTTTAACTATTCCAAACAAACTAGCTACTTATATGAAACTAAGTAAATATCAAAAAAGCCATACAAACCAACTACTTATAGTTGTATACAATCAAGAAAATACATAATTAAAAAATCACTGAAATGCTTGAAAAAAGATTTTGCTGTGTGTTGGTTTAGGAGGTTTTGTTGTTTTTGGTTTTTTTGGTACCAGTGATAAAACCCACAAAAAGCTATGTCCTCAGCCCTTTGTTATTATCATTATTATTTTATTTTGATACAGAGTCTCCATAAATTGTCCAGGCTTGAACTAGTGGCCTCCTGTCATAGCTTCCCAAAGTGCTGGAATTATAGGATGTGCCACGGTGCACGTCCCCCCAACCTGCACCAGGAATCAAACTCAGGACTTTGCACTTGCCAGCCAGGCATGACAACACTGAACTACATCCCCAGCCCTCAAAAATATTCCTGCTGTCTTCAAATCCTAGCTGTCCTTGCACAACATTTTTTGCTCAAGTGTTTCATTCCACTATTCAGTTGGTATTAGTTATCCTGTGGATAAGAAACAGAGTCCATGAACTTGAAGTACAACTTTCTCCAGAGTCAGGCATAAGGAAACCCAGATGAGTAGAAAAGTCAAATGCAGAATTGTCAGATGTTACAACTTCCAAGTAACGTGTCTGTGCATATGCAAGTATATGTGGTGCTAGGAATGGAACCTAGGGCTTTGCACATGCTACCTCAGTTATATCCCTACCCCAATGCCTATCAGCAGCAGCTGAGCTCATTCACTAGGGACTGGGGTTGGAAGTTTATAACCAATTACATGGGATGCCACATCCTCAATTTCCACATCTGAAAACAGGAATACTGACCTCTAGTGATAGTTTCAAGAATTAAGTGAAGGAACATATGTGACATATGAGGTGAACTCTCCTGCCTCATCAAACTCCCTGGTTCCTGTCTACATATCCACTGTCATAGGGCTTTTAAACTACTGTCTAAAGAGGAGGCTATGTTCACAGTCCTTGTTTTAGAATCAGATTTAAAGCCTAATATAAGTTTAGTTGTTATACTCATTGCCCCTAGAAGTTGAGGATCCTTGTTCATCCCCTTTCTGTCTCCATTATTGCTCCTTTCTCTCATATGTAATGAGTGCCAGAAATTAAGTACAGAAACAGTAAAAGATCACTTTTATTTTGCTCCTTCAGATTATCTACATTTACTTGTTTTTGCTAAATATAGAAAACAGCTTGTAAGAGGGCCAGGGATTTAGCTCAGTGATTCAGTGGCCTGCCTTGCAAGCGCAAGGACCCGAGTTCAACCCCCAGTACCAAAAAAAAAAAAAAAAAAAAAAAAAAACAGCTTGTAAGTACCCATGGTTTCTGGCAATAAGTTCTCTAAAATGGGGGGGGGGTCAACCTATATATGCAGAAGTAATTCATTCTCTGGAGTAGGGGGTGATGCTAGAGACGGTCAGATTCCTGGCTCAGTGGCATCTTAGCAGAAGCCTCTGCACTTGCCTGAGCTCCCAGCTTGTATCCCTGTCTGATCCAAAAAACGGGTGTCCTGTTTCTATTGTCTCCAGCCTGAAACCTTGTCTCCTCTTTCCATGAAAACTCCTGGGGACTGGGAACATAGGTATGTTTACAGGAAATCTAATGATGGGTCAGTATTTAGGGAAGGGGGGGTTCAAATATCCATCCTATCTAGGGAAAACAGGGTTTTCTTGTTTTAATTCATGTAACAGAGCAAATCTACTCTATTTCCTCAGTTCTCAGCACAGAGTTTTGTTTCCGCTGAGAATTTTCCAGATAACAATTTTCTCAGCTAAAAATTTGTCTGTTGCTCAGTCAGGTCCTCTAAGTAGTCAAGGTTTCTTCCTACAGCTCACCCTCTGAGCTGCGTGATAGGAAGTATAAGTGCTTAGGAAGAGTTCAGGGCAATAAGGACAGGAAAAGGAAGAACACAGGGCCAAGGTAATAGAGGGGCACTAAATTGGGACAAGGGTAAATTGCTAAGTGTGAAATTCAGACCTACATTAAAGCTGGGCATGGTGGCACACATCTGTAATCACAGCACTCAGAAGGCTGAAGCAGGTGGATTTCAACTTTAAGGCCAGCCTGAACCATATAACGAGATTCTGTCTCAAAACAAACAAACAAACAAGCCAAAAACATCCAAGACCTACATTAAGACCTGCTTCTGTGCACTCGTCCAGTCAGAGGCTCAGTGGCTGTGTAGAGTGCCTACGGCTCAAGCACCCTTGGCACAGGTGCCCCATCCCAGGTGCAGCTGCACTTCTGCACCCTCATGTTGGGCAGACTGACCACCTGGGACCGGATCCTGCCTCCTTCCTTGATGCTGACAATCATGGGCAGTGCAGCTGTCTCCGAGGCAATGCACTGCCGTGGTCCCAAAAATGGCCACTTGAAGGTCAGGGGCTCTGGGGGCTGCAGGCAGCTGCCCACACACTCATAGGCTAGAAAGCCTGGGGGCTCCAGGACCCAGTTCTCAGCCCACTTCATTCCCTGTAGGTCCAGGTACGTCTCCTGGCGGCAGCAGCGAGTGCTCTCAGTCATGGCTGCCTCAGGGTCACAGTTGCCTTGAGCTCTGTAAGGGCAAGAAGAGGCAGTCAGGTCAACCAGAAGTGCTGAGTTCAGGGAGGCCCAGGGTCCAGCTTAGAGGGCATCTGGGAAGACTACCCATCTCTCTTTATGTTAAACAGCTGGTTATTTGTATTAGTGGACAAATGACTAAATTTACCTAGAATATAAAGTCAGCTACTGTTGACTAAAGGTCACTAATGTGCCAGACACTGAAGTAGGTACATCATATGATGGACCTTGAAGAGGCATCAACATTATCTATCTTCACCTGCAGATGCCAAAAGCTATAGGTGCTCAGTGACCTAAAGCTAAGAGAAGGCATCACTGCACAGAGCCCATGCTCTCTGGTTTCTAAGGCTTGGTCTTAGCCATAACACAGCCACCTGGAGTATCAGAAATCTACAGGGATGGATTCCAGCCCCCGCCATGCCAAAATCTGCAGATCCTCAATCCTTGTGTAAAATGGTACAGTTTTCACATATAACCTGCACACATCATCCTATAGACTTCATTTTTTTTCAATATTGAGGATTGACCCCAAAGCCTTCAACCTAAGCCAGTGATGGAGAACTTTTCAGGGCTTTGAAGGAAATAGCCTGCTGCAGCATTCCTGCCATAGGTTTGCCACCATTGCACTAATATATAGCTTCAGTGCTTTTTTTTAAAAAAAGTTTTTTTTGAAACAATGTCTCTCTGTGTGACTAAACTGGCCAGGGTGGACTTGAACTCAAGAGCCTCCTGAGTAGCCATGCTTATAGGTATGCATTGGCATATCTTCTTCCACATACCTTAAATCATCTCTTGCTTAGTTTTAATACCTAATACAATATAAATGCTATGAAAATAGTCATTATGGTATTGTTTCAGGAATAATAATGACAAAAAATATGGCTATAGGCTCAGTAAGATGAGATTTTTATAAATATTTTGGAACTTTGGTTGGTTGAATCCACACATGAGCAACCCATGGATATCCATAAATGCTGCCCTTTTTTTGCCTCCAGTAGCTAACTTGTCCCAGGAATAAAAGAATTTTGCCTCAGTTATAGCTAAAGCTAGTATTTTCAAAGACATAATTACGAAGGGTAAAGTGAAAAACAATTACAATAGCGTACACAATGCAATGACGATATAAAAATACGAGAAGATATTTTCAATAAAATGTTTGACCCTTAAAAACCCGGTTATGTCCTGGGGTGGTCTGCCTCGCCTGGCCCCAC